CCACAGTGGCTGAAGTGGTGAAGAAGGTATCCAAATGTGACCAGTTTCTCCTCAACAAAAATCCACCAGATGTCACAGGCATCTTGGAGGACAAGAAAATGGACAAGAACCGATACATATTCATATGTCAAACTTATGACAATAAGAGAAGGTTTCTGACGCTCTACGACACCAAGAACAAGATTCCTGTGTATTCTGCCTACAAGTACACAGGGGAAACAGAGAAGGGACGGCCCTGTCTCAAATGGAAAATAGAGCCACAGGTGTGTTTTTCTTATTGACTCATAAAAAACTAATTAAATAAATAGTAATATTGTATTTTGGGTGCAAGTAATAACGGCTCGGGCCCTCCCACAGTAGAAATGCTATATTACCTATAAACAATAATAAAACTTGTATCCATGCTGGGAATAAAACTCGTCATCATACTGCATACCAGTGATACAGGCTTGTTGATATAGTTGCAGTGTAGACCAACAAACCTCAATGCTAAGCTATAATTATTGTATTGTATGATTATTCATTTAAATTAAATGATAAGGCAGCTGATATTCTATATTTTTGTTAATGCCAGAAAAACACCAACAGTACTACCAAAACTTTCTGTGGTTCCTAAATCTTTAAAAACAGCTCTCATATATTTTCATTTTTAAAAAAGGGTCAGCTTTTTTTCTACTATTTTTACATTTTGTACTCTAGTGAGTATTTGGGGCAGCAGGACAGTGTATGTGGGCTGAGTTAAAATAAACTACAGTGTGTGTGTTCATGGTGATGAAGGGACATGTCGCACAGTTCAACAGTGATGGGTTTTAATAGTTTTTGTACAACACTGGAGCTCTATGGCTCCGAGGAAGAAGAGATATCAGGCTGAGCCTTTCTGTGCAGCTTTACATAAATTCTGTTATTTAACTAAAGATCAAGGATATTTTACTGTAAATTTAATTTATTGTATTGTTACTCTGCCTGCATCAGTAACTTAATCTTTAACTCTTACAGCTTGAAAACAGAAATAACAAGAACATGTGTTTGTATACCAAAAAGAAGACCTACACCAACCAGGCTGGGGACAATGATTACACAAACAAAACAGCATATAATAGGGGCCATTTAATTCCAAGCTCTTACGGGTCCCAGATATTTGACAAAAAATCCACCTTTACTCTGACCAACATCGTTCCACAAGAAGAATCATTCAACCATGGAAGCTGGAGCAGAATGGAGAAGTGCATCAAATGTGTTATGGACGAATATTGCACAGACAACAATGGTGTGACTGAAGCCTATGTGGTAACTGGAGCAAAACCCAACAACAACAACGAACAACTCAATAACAGGGTTAATATTCCCTCCAAGCTCTGGTCAGCATTCTGCTGCAAAAGCCCCAAAGAGAAAAAATGGATAGCAAGTGCACACTGGGGCAAAAATGTTCCTGATGAACCTAAAGGCAAATATCTGCCCACTATCACTCTGGAGAAGCTCCGTGAAGAACTTACTGTAATAGCCTTTCCTGAAACAAAGTGTCCTCTCCAAACAACCGTTAGTGAGTTTTACAAAAACCAAGACCCAGACTGCGAATGCCAAAAAAACTAACCATTTTCCCCCTCCCACTTAACATCTGCCCCTTTGACACCACTTCTGGCCATCCCACCATCTACATCTGCTTCTCTCTTTACCACATCTGTGAATACAGAGGTTTCTGTGGGGTTCAACCTGGAAAATATAAAGCTTTGGTAAAAAGAAAAAGGGACATTCAAACAAAGCCTTCAATCTGTAAATATTTCATTATGTTTAAGAGTGAAATAAACTTTAAAAAAGGATCAGCAGCTAACATGTATGTATAATTAAACTAATCAAGATAATTAACTAAAAAATGAGTCAATGCCGAATTAACAAGTTGAAAATTGTTCTGTCATAAATGTTTGAATCTTCAGACTGAGCTGTTCGTTTACATTTTACTGTGCTTTACTTTTTTGTTTAATTTAATTTCTTCTGTTGACTGGACACTGGATAGAAGAAAATTTCCTTCGCTTAGTTTCAGATAGAAGACACTTTGTAAATGTACACGAGGATGTGAATGAAATAACCTGCAGACGTCTGATACTGTGTGTGAAGTGGAGATTTTATCTTCAGAGTGAATCAAATCAAGCTTTTATCAATATCTCAAACTTCTTGTATGAAGAGAAGTTACATGATATTATCTTATAATTA